TATATGAACGAGGAGAATTCAAACCATATCAATGTACCTTTTATCAACTATTAGATTGCTCTATGACTTTTTATTAACTATGAACTTTTCAAAACTTACGATTAAATTCAAATATTTTTACTCCAAGATCGTACATACAAAATTTGATATTATAATCAAATATGATTTGATGTTTCATTCTTATAGATCAAAATTAATGTAATATACATTTAAAAATTACATCGATGTCATTTGAACTCTCTCTCTCTATATAGAAACAAAGGAGAGTTCAAACGATATTGATGTAACTTTAACAATTATTACATAACTTAATAACCTATAATTAAATATGAATTAACCGCTGAATTATATATAACTTCATATCATCTTGTATATGTATATCAAATTTTGTTAAAATTAAATAACAATTTGAATGTAATCAAAATGTTTATATTTTTGTATATTTTGAAATGAATATATTTTGATCTATAAATTAAGAACTTTAAATTCAACGATTGAATTGTTGAAATTTGATGTAAAATATGAGTTATTAAATGAAGTAAGTCTAGGTAGAATTACTCCTAGAGTATATATAAACTAGTATTTTAGTATATGCAATGTTCATACTAAATATAACTAAAATTTATAATAAATTATGTATATAAATAAATATTATATTTAAATATATAAATTATATATAAAATTTAAATAGATAGATATTTTTAAACATATAAATTATAGTTTAAATTTATGATAATTAATTTACATTGTAGTACAAGATTGTTTTTATTTATTGATAATTTATTTTAATATTAAAATTTTATTCATAAATAATTATGATAAAAAAAATAAAATTATATATGTAGTTAAAATAATTCTACAAAACCCTCTCTTTGAAGTAAAATTCCTAAAAATGCTCTTATACTTTATAGTCGTTCGTATTTAATTTATATGGATTGAGTGATTGATTTTAGCATTAACAATTACTTTTTAACTTATAAGATAAGATAAATCTATAATAAGTAACTATAAATAAAGGCAATAATTTTTTTTTGGTGGATCGATTTTTCACCCTGTAAAATGTAACTTACTAATTTTATTCTTTTTATGTAGAGAATGTCACACATCTAAAACAAATGCGTCCTATTGGGTTGTGCAATGTTTCTTACAAGATTTTAACCAAAGTATTGGCCCACCGGCTCAGTAACGTGATGGAAAAGTTGGTGCATCCCAATCAATGCAGTTTTATTCCACATAGACATAGCAAGTATAACATTATCATTTTCTAGGAAGTTATTCATTCTATGAGAAGCAAGATAGGTAAGAAAGGATGGATGATTATCAAAATCGACCTTGAGAAAGCCTATGACAGGTTAAGGTGGAGCTTTGTGAAGGATACACTTATAGATATTGGCCTTCCGCTTAATCTTGTAGACCTAATTTCAGCTTCATTTCCTCTCTTAGACTCCACATGCTTTGGAATGGCGAGGTTTTGGAGGAATTCCTACCATCACGTGAAGTTCTTCAAGGCGATCCTATTTCTCCATATTTGTTTGTTCTTTGTATGGAACGCCTCTTTCATCTTATTAAACTAGTTGTTGATTCTGGAGGTTGAAAAGCAATTAAACTTTCTAGAGATGGCCCTCCCCTCCCTTAACTTGCCTTTGCAGATGATCTTGTGTTATTTGCGAAAACATCAATGGATCAAGTTGAAGTAATACAATCATGTCTAGACCTTTTCTACAGTAGTTCGGGTCAAAAAGTCAATGTGGAGAAAACAAGAATCTTCTTCTCTGAAAACGTAGCTTATACAGTGATAAGTCATAATTTGATATGTATCTTATCCTTCAATTGTTTTGATGTTCATTTTTCTTCTTCTTTTGTGTTTTCTCATGTCTTCTTTCAATGTTTCTTCTTCTTGTTTAAGAATTCTCAACTTCTCATCTAGGATAGCAAGTTTGGCCTCTCTTTCAATTTTCTCCTTCTCTTTTCATGTCATAGAACCAACACTTCTAGTTTAGGTTATTACAAGCATTTAATACCACTCAATGTATGTCCACGTCAAATCCAGGAATCCAAACTAATTGTTTTTACCTCTTGCACCCGAAAATCTTCTACACAACTCAACAAGAATAACTTTAAAACATCCAATCCCATATCAAAATTATAGCAATTCATTTTACTTCTATTATCAAAGACCAAATCCTAAATCCATGACCATGCCCCTAAGGAGAGCGATATAAATGGTTCAGAGGTTTGCACAACATTAGACTTATAGTGAAAGCTTACATCTGCAGAAAGTGGATCCACTAACTCCAAGCCAGCAATGTCCAGTGAATGAGAAGAGGCAAGAGTTCCCCCACAGCCAGCATGGACCATGGAAGGCCCACAACAAAATCCACGCCTCCATTGTTCTTGCAGTGCAAGCAGACCATATGGACCATCACCACAATCCGCATCCAAGGCCAGATCAACAAAGGAAATAGCTTGTTGGACAAGCAATGCAATCCCGTCAAGAAGCTCCTGAAGTGGTTTCCTTTGACCGTAAGAAAGGATACCTTCTTCATTGAAAGAATTATGAGAAAAGGAAGGACCAACTTCCATGTTAGGTGAATTTGAAGGTTTTACAACTTTTGAAGCTCCTAATGTGCGCCAAACACCAATAGGAGCATTAAGGTGACCATCAAGCATTCCTCCATCAATATCACCTGCAATTCTAATTGGTATATTTTCTTTCTTCTTCACATCAAACTTGCCTGATATGTTTTCTGTGGTGATACTTGGGTCGCTAGGAAGCTGATTCAAAAATGAAACCCCATTGGACCTACTTAAACCAATAGGCATTAGGTTAGTTGAAGATAAGAGAATATGGCGTAACCTGCACATGGAAGCTTGCAACATAACACATGTAATATCAGTTGCCAGCAAAGTTTTTGCAGATAGAAGGTGATGCTCTGCTTCATGTGTGCATTCAGTCATCTTCCTTAGGGAAGACTTAACAATAGCATTAGAACCAATGTTTGAGAGTGGCGCTAGCCCCTCAGATTTAGCAATGCTGTTATCATTACATGTGACAGGATTTTTATCACTTTTTTCCTTCTGGCTCTCCACAAAAGTATAGCAATTTTTTGAGTGGAGACTCATACTTGCATCATGTTTTCCAGAACCTTTTTTTGTATTGACAACCACTCCATTCTTCCCCTCTGATCCTTCAGTGCAGGGAGAAGAGGGCGGTGCTGCACCGTATAAGTAATTGTTTGAACTTGAATTTGAACTCTCTGCTTTTAGAGATTTTGGAAAATATGGGCTTCTGAAAATTGTTGTGGACAACTCAGAAGTAGGGGTCTCCACAGCTCCAAATTCAGGAGCAAATGTCATCATTGCTTCAGCTTTCATTATATGATCAAACTCCCTCGTATACAACATTTGAGTTTGATTGGTTGGACCCGAAGACATGGAGTTATTCAAGTTATCTTGACTTTTGTTAAGACATTCCTCCATGGCTGCTGAAGGAGGGGGGTTATAGCTCTCAAAGGAAGGAAACCCAACAGGCAAAAGTATTTGATCTGAAACAACATCTATCACACCACCTGGACTGCTGTTGACATCTCCACAATCCGGAGCAGAAAAAATTAGTGCCTGAGATTCCGCAGTTCCTGGGGGCTTTGTCAGAAAAATGATCACACAATAAGAGACCAGTATATAAAAGACCAAGAAGCAGAGAGAGAACAATAATATTGAATTAATAAAGAGGAGGAGCTTATAAATTTAAAGTATTCACGAGTTGAACAAAAAGATTCTAACATTGGACATTATACTAAGCAATCAACCAAATCTTATATCCAAATTTTAATTTGAAAAAGAACCATCAAGATATAATTAAGATTCACTACTTTATGCACACACATAAGATAAAGGAGAGACAAGGCATAAGTTAGAAAAACACCTTATACTCCCAAACAAAGAATAGAAGATAGAACAAACTAAAAATCTTCAATAGTGCAACAAGGATCTTCAAACCTTCTCTATGTTCGAAGTGGGAGGAGGCCCTTATTGTGGTATAGAAAACAATCCAAATAGGCGTATAGGGAAGTGTATGTATTTTTAATTTTTCATCCATAGGAAAACCAAACGTGCATTGTTCCAACTTATAAACTGCTAGAATGAAGAAAATGCATAATTATTATTAAAATTCTTTTTTCCCAAACGTAAATTGAACAAATTTAAAAGTTGGCTTTTGTTACAGATATTGTGGATATGTCACAGATATTGTTGATACAGATATTATGGTTATTATCCAAGTTATCAATTAGGGATATGATTAGATTAGTGTCCATAATATTAGAGATTAGTATCTTTATCATTTATTGTATTCTCCCTATAAATAAGATTGGTGTGTGTACAACAATACACACAATTCCTTAATTACAACAGCTTTAAACATTTGTTATGCTCAAGGAAAAATAGGTGATAATAGATATCAAAGAGTTGAAAAGTAAGACATAATTATTTGGATGTGTAATTTATGATTTAAGACATTAATTGTGGTGTGCAATGTGCACCTGTTTAGAAATGGATGTCACAACTCAATGGCTCTCACTAAACTCAGGATTATAGATGAGAAAAAGTGGAAATCAAAAGAAAGAATCCTCTTTAAATCATAGTATAAATATTCAGATACCTCTCCAAAAGGCAAAACATCATTTTCGAAGAAATCACCAAAATCACCAAACTCTGATAGAAGGGCTTGAATATCCATTTCCATGCCCCTATCATCATCATCCCAGTCCCAGTAAGACCCAATTGGTTCATTTCCTACTCCTGTAATGGCTGAATTGTTCACTTCCATGACAGTGTGGGAGGAGATTAGTAATGCTTTTGGATTTAGTCGCACTGATAATCTAGGAAGATATTTAGGTATTCCTGTTCACCATACTCAAGTTCGTCGTAGAGATTATCAAGTTGTTATTTGCCAGGTGACCACGAGACTCAGTGGATGGAAAGCTCTTTCTCTTTCCTTTGTAGGTCGTCTCACTTTGTGCAAGTTTGTTCTTGCTGCCATTCTTGCTTACACAATGCAGTCAATTCATATTCCTCATAACGTCTGTGATGAAGTGGATAGATTATGTCGAAGCTTCTTATGAGGGGAATATTCTAATCATCGAAAGATCCATGCTATTGGGTGGGATAAAATTTGTCTTCCTAAATAGTATAGTGGTCTAGGGTTGCAGTCCATGAGAAATATCAATAATTCAGTTATGATAAAAAAAATGGATGGAGTTTAATAATTGAACCTAATAAACTATGGGTTCAAGTAGAGAGATCCAAGTATAAATGCTTAAATGGATTAATCCCTCAATTTCAGAGGAAGACATCCATGTTTAATTTATGGCAAGGAATCTGTGCAAACTGGCAACATGTCACTTCAAATATTCGATGGCAGGTAAAGGACATAAGGATAGTGAGATTTTGGTATGATTCTTGGTTGCCTAATAGATCTTCTATTATTAGGCAAGCTAATTCCTTTATTACACCCGTGGAACTGTTTAGATATGTGCCGGTGACTACGTCAATGAGCATGGCTTTTGGGACATTGAACGTATCAAAGATTGGATTCCTCATGAAGTTTTTGAGAGTATTATACATCAGCCTCTTCCTATAAGTAGTGCAGGATCATATGTAATTTGTTGGGGCCCGGCTTTGGATGGTGTTTTTTCAACAAAGTCAGCTTATGTAGTTGTATCTCCAATAAACATGCCTACTCGACCATCGATTTTTTGAGCTATCTAGAAGTGGCAAGGCCTAGAACAGATCAGGAGCTTCCTTTAGCGTGTTGCACATGAAGGACTTCTGACGAATGAAATCAGGGTTGCTCGCGGATTAACTACCACATCAATTTGTCTTTATGCATGCAAGGTGTGGAGACCACTCTCCACATATTATGAGATTGTAGTCTTTCTCGTGAAGTTTGGAAGAGGATTCCCGGAAGGGATTTAATTATGCAATCTACTGAAGGTAACGTACAATCCTGGATGTTGCACCATCTTGCAAGGCGAAGTATGTGGCCCTCTATATTTGTTGTGGCATTGGATTCTATTTGGCATAGAAGGAATTCTTTTGTCTTTTAACACTTTTCCATCAATGCTAATTAGTTGGCGTATGAAATTGAGTCTCGGATGACTTCACTCCTTTTTAGCCATTCTTTTTTGGCTTAGAAGATAAACCAACATACAACCCCCTCTCTGGTTCTTGGATTTGTCCTCCTAGGGGTTTTATTAAAGTTAATTGTGACGATGTAGTGTCTAATGGTAGAGAGAATTCATGTGGAGCAGTGATCTGAAACTTTGAAAGTGGATTAATTGTTGCTTTTACTAAAAGAATGGGTAGCTGCTGCTCAGTTATACAATCAGAATTGTGGGTCATTTTGCAAGGGTTTCAGCTTATTGTGGATTGTCAACTAGGCATGCAAGTCATACTTGAATCAGACTCTTTGGAAGCAATTAAACTATTGAAAGACAGGTGTGCTAGGAATCATCCTTGTGCTGATATAATTCAAAAGATTCGTTGGTTATCCAATATTTTTTTCAAATTTTTCAATTTCGCATATTTTTAGAGAAACCAATTCAATGACTGACTTGCTAGCCAAACATAAAGTTGTGTCAGGGGAGAATTTTATTGTTTATGACACTCCCCCCCCCCCCCTTTTCCCCTTTCCTTTTTTT